AAATTAGCAACATTTTCTGTCAAAGTGTCTGTGTGTTTTGATGTAGTATCTTTTCCAGGATGTTGAAAAGGACAAAAAACCCAAGGGTGTAAAGGTAAAGGGTGCTAAGGTGAAAGGAAGGAAACAGGAGATTCCAGAGATGAAAAAGACTGATCAAGAAGATGCAGTCTCTCAGTGGACCAGTTCCTCACAGATTCCTCTAAGTTTCCCTCAAGACAGTAAGCCTATGATTGCTGATGCAACAGCTAGCAATGATCCCGGCATGTTGAAGGAAGATCCTTCACCTGTGGTGCTTTGTACAACAATGCCTCCCATCAATCCAGTATGTGGGAACCTTATTGCGGCAAACTTCAATTCATACTTCCCCCATTCCAATACAAGGTTAGTGTTTTTTTTGGTGTGGTAGACAGTTGGCACTGAAATGAATAATTGGTTCATTAATGTGTTGCCTTCCTAGGGCTAGGTAAAGGACAGATGTGACTCATTTGTGAACTAGGGATAATATTTTTTTTTTTTACCATTATCACAAGTTAGTTAATGTTGGTGAGATGTTTTGAATCTGAAATGTATTCTTTATTAGTATTATATGGCAGTTTGCAAAACACCGGGATAAACACTATCTATGCTCTGATGACAAACACATACTGCCACCAACTAATTTCAAATACATTGTTTATATAACCAGGACATTCAGCACTGGACTGACAAATTATTTTGTATATAAAACTACTGATTTGAATAGGCTTCCTGAAAAAGCAAAGAAAAGGAGGAGCCCTTGGCAACCAATGGGACAGAGTGGTCCAAAAACCAGGCAGGATGATGGACCTGTGACTCAAGTATGTTTACAGACCCAAAGATTTAAACATAGACTTTCTTGATTTCATGCCCTCATCTATTTCTCTTCTTTTCCTTTTGATTAGGGATGTAAATATTGTTTTTAAAAAACCTTCTATAATGATATTGGTTAAACAGTTAACCGATAAAACAGCAGCTTGGACACAGCTGCTGCTAGGAGCCATTCCCTGGGCCCTTTGACAGCAGGGGGAGGAGGTGGTGGCAAGCCCAGCCAGACCACATGCAGCCCCTGGCTGGGAGGGAGGGAATACCTTTGAACAGCAGCTAATTGCTAAATTGATGAGTCGTTAGGCCCCCTACTATTTTCCTCTTTAACCTCAGGCTATGGGTACCAGTCTCCACACCCCCACCCCCCCGGCCACAGACATTGCGTGCCACACACCCCCACCTTTCCTGCCAGGCTCTGCCCTGCCCTGCCTTAAACGATAACTCGTAAACTAACCTGCCATCACTGGCCTTATCAGTTAAACAATTAATCATTTAACTTTTCACATCCCTACTGTTGACGTGCTGTAATGGCATAAAAATATTACAATGATGGCTTATTTAAGGACAAGCCAGGTGGTTTCTGGAGATTTCCCAGGTGTTGGGATGACTCTACACAACAAGGCAAAGAAACTGGATAGTGGGTGAAGTCATGGCTATATTAACATTAATGGGTGTTTTGCTCTTGACTTCAAGGGAGCTAAGATTTTACCCAATTTTTATGAAAGAGTTATACACTTCCATCTAGTATTGTTTTTACTAGTATTGTTTTCTCTATAATAAGCTTTATCTAATTAGTATAAAAGAACTTAATTCTGACAGCTCCACTTTTTGGCATGAAAAGTACATTCTTGAGACTTTCCTTTCTTCATCTTTATAAGTTGGTGAAACAGTACTAGGTGACTAGTGCTGTTGTTTTTTAATACCACTGTTTGCAGAGAAGCAAGAGACATGGTATGCTAGATCTTTTTTGAAAGATGAACATTACATAATTCATAGCTGGTACTGTGTGTCATTAAGCCATGCATGCCTCCTGAGGCTGGGGGACCACAGCAACTCCCCATAGTCGTTGGCGGTGGTGTTAGCAGCAGGGCTGCGTCAGTGGTGAGCAGGGACCGCCTGCAGGCGGCCGTGGCAGTGTCAGCAGAGAGGGGGGGTGGCGGGTAGCGACCGTCCGCAGATGGTGACGCGGGCATCATTGGCAGCCAATTTTAGCGGGGGCATATGTCCTGCACCCTCCCCTACACGTCACCTACGATGTGTGTAGTGTATGAAGATCTTTTTAGAGTTTTATTGAATTTGGACTTTGACGTTTTAATTTATTTTGGTCTGTTTATCTGGCACTAACCTCTTGAAAATTGTAAAGTAATGGTAAGTAATGGCCATGCTACATCTATCCTTGGGCATATTGTGGTTTTTCTGTTTAGACTCCAATAGAAAAAGTCACGCTGTATGATCCAGCTTCTCAGACTGATACAATAGTCAACACACACCGAAAGAAACGTAATATTTCTAAATCTGAGAAAAGAGACATTCACTTCCCAGAGCTGCCAATAACACCGCAACAAAAGGATCTCAAAGGCATGGAAGGTATGACACACTGACTGTTTTTTGATTTTGTAAATCTGCAGCAGGTACTAGCTGAAGATATTAGTTAACTGACAACTAAATACCAATATGTAATTTGGGTAGAAAATGCTGAGAAAAAAATGCACCTCATAAGATTGGGCACTGATGTGATCTTTCGATTGCTGTAATGTTCCACAATTCCCAAAATTTTGGATCAAAATGAGAATAGCCATTTAAAATGATGATGTGTTTTTGACATGCTAAACAAGCCTAAAAATAGTTTGGATTTTTTTTGTGAGCCGTCATTTCATTTTCTTTGCATTTCTGGGTGTGTGAGATACCAGACAATTGAGCTTTCTTTAGTGGTTTTACCATGTTTTCTTGAGACCGGTGTGACCAGTAGCAGGTGTGTAGCCAAATGCAAATCCTTGGCAACAGGTCTTGCATCTAGGTTTAATTCAATCAATCAGAACCTGAATTAAACTGCTCATATTCAGTCCAGCAGCATAACATTCTTTGGCATGCTACCTCCCTTTTATTCTCACACTGAATCTTCAGTATGACTTTGTTTTTGGGTTCATCGTTGTTTCCAAAGTAATTGAATTAAGCACAGAAGAAAGTGAAGGAGCACATGGGAAGTTAAAAATATGAAGCCAGGAAATGATTAGGTATCTGTCTGTAAAAGTTAAACAGGTAAAAGTGTGGAAGAAGGAATCAAGAAAATCTGAAGCATCTAAAATACCATCTTTACTAAATGTGGATCAGAATCCAGAAAAGCAAGAGGTAAATTAATATTGTTTACTTAGTTGGGAGGTCAAGTAGGCAGGGCTCTTGACTCATTGCACAAGTATGAGGACAATTCTTTTCTTTTTCATTTCTATCAGTCACTGTAATTGCAACTGGATATAAACTAAAATCAAGATCTCGTTGAAAACAATATATTGCATGTCACTGTTCAACTGGCGGCCTTCACGCTGTGTGCAGCCTCTATAGCTATTCGGTTCATGCTAGTGGAGAAAGTTTTTGATAATGGTTAGAAGCAACACTGTCAGGTTTAAAGGTGTATCTTGTAGCAGATCACACTGGCTTGCAAACACTCGTAGCACCTTGTGCAGGGAAATTGTGTTTGTATGAAGGTAGCCGGACAAAGAAGCCGTAGCCAGTCCACTAATTTTCAGTTTCATTTTTAGAATACAGGAAATATACGAAATAAAAATAAAACCAATCTGCCAAATTTAGAATAAGCAGTATATTACCATGTGTTCTGAGAGATAGCAAAACCATTGTACAGTAAATATCTGCTTTTCTATGAAACTTTCATACAATACTATGATTTTATACATTTCATAAGTGTACATATATTCTTCCCTGGAGATTTTTATAATATGTTGGCCATAGCATTGATAAATTATTTTAAGGGAAAATCAGCAGGTTTTTACAGGATGCTGTTACATGGCGACATATGTTCCCTAATGGAAAAGGGCTAGGAAACTTTTAATGAAAATAAGACTAACGTTAAAAAGAGAGAGAGGTTATTTTTCCTGCAACTACATAGAGTACAACCACGTACTAGTTTCAGTAGTACTATTACAGTATCTACAGGGGATGCTATAGGTAGTAGCCTGTCGATTATCAACCTCTATATTTTAGTGAACCATAAAATTCACCCTAAGCTGAAACTGACATATAAGCTTTCAGACAAGAAAGCATTTTTAATAAATATTTCTTTAGGCATGTAATTCTTAGAAAGAATAATAAGTCTGGCTCAGTTCATACACTGCTAATGTTTTGAAACGTTATTACAAAACTTTGCTTTAGTCAAATAGGTGTCAAACTAACAGTTCATAAAATGAATCTGGTCTTTTGGTATATAAAAGAAACATTAGAATCCTGATATTTTAACGTTATTTCTGCTATATGCATATCTGAATGGTCTTAACCCATGGATTAATGGAATCAGGAGAGATATGTCTGAGGAATTTGCATGATACTGCAGGTTTGACAACAGTAGTATGCATCTGTGCAAAGTCTACTTCAAGAGACAGAGGCAAAACGAACAGATTATAATAGCCTAAACATAGCTGTTGTTATTTCCTTTGGTGCCAGTCCTGCTTTTGTTATTGTGGTCATCTTCAGCAGCATGTAAACAAATTTCACATCATGTATAAGTGGGTGCAAGAGGTGCGGGGCAATTTGAATCAATTTGGCATTTGGTGGGCGTGCAAACTGAATGTAAATTACATGTGAAGGGGGCGGAAGGAAGCAGGAGCAGGAAAAATAAGTAGCAGAAAGAAATTATACAGCCACCCCCACAACCTTAATTTGAAGCTGATGGGAGATTTGTCTACATGGGGCCTGCTCCATTCACCTCAATGTGGTACTATTTAGGTTTATCTGTTGACCCTTAGATTCCTTATAATAAGCTATTGTATTGCTAGATGCCTACAAATATTTCAAAATTTCATTTGTGCAGCTGATTTGGTAAGACAAGTAGAACTCAGCCATCTAGATTGGAGGAGAGCGTGAAGGCTGAGAGCTGGAATCCTTTTATGAAACAGCTCTGGATATTACAGGAATTAGGAATCACATCCTGGTTCTTGCTGCCCTACTTCTTTTTTCTTATTATGTATTTCAAAGTCTCCATTAACCTACTTTAATTTGTATTTTCCAGGTCACTGGAGCCACTAGGAAAGCTGTTGGATCATCACTACCTGGCTGAATACAGGGTTACCTTTTATTCCTTGCTTCTGTCTTTCTCCCAAACTGTTAAGACTACAATAAACAGGAGGACATCAGACTTCCTCATACTGTTCATGCAAATCAGTAGCTTCAACATCTAAAATCTGTAAATACTGAACCAGCAAATGGTTTCTGGGATGCCCTTCCTCCAGTATGTGTTGGGAGATGAAACCACTTTATAAGGTCCCTAATTTTCCTTTTGTCTTTATACCGCATAGGAGACAAGTAAAAAAGAAAACTTGGCAATAAAATATTTAGTGAAAAGAAACCAAACAAGGAAAGTAGAGTCAACTTTGGTTATGTATGGGATGTTTATTAAAAGTGTCTATTTGATGATATGGCTATTTAATATAATGATTGCTGAACATTGACAAGCAGCAATATTTTTAAAAAGTAGATTTGGAGGAAACAGTTAAAATTGGGTTAATGAGTATTATTTGGCTTTAACCTATTAAACAAAAATGTAAATGCATCAAGGCCCATTCAACCTCATTGTATTACCTTGTGCCTTGATGCAAGTCTGTTAAGCAGCAGTGAGACCCTAACTGTTGTGAGGTCTTGGCAAATTTAAGTGCAGAGAATGTGCTTGATACAACAGGTAAGAAACAGATGCTTTTGTGGGTTATCTCAGCTTTGGTATACATCTTTACACAAGTGCAGATAAATTTCACAATCTGTTGCCCAAAGCAGATTTATTTTAGCCAAATGTGTAGTAACCTCACTAGGGTGTAGCCAGCATCTTTCGAATTCCTATCTTGTGTGTGCAGGATGATCCACTGCCCTCCACCCTCCCAGCACTGAACCCTGACATTCCCATATGCAGGGCTTGCATAGGAAGGGCAGGAGCCAGGGACTGTGCTGAGTTTTGGATTTGGATTATTTGGATGCAAGACCTTTCCCAGGGCATTGCCTGTCCAGGCCCCAAAATGCACTTTGGGGAATAGAATGCATAGTGATTGGGGTGATAGTTGCTGCCGAATCTAGAAGAAACTGTCTTAGAAAAGGGGACCAAAGCCATAGATTTAAGATGCCTAATACTAGAGAAGATTGGGGGAGCATCAACTAGTGGTATAACTAGGGTGGGGTGACCAGGCAACCACCCTGGGCACTGACTTAGGGAGAGGGGGACAACAAAAACACTGGCAGCTGTGTGACTGTGCTGGTGGCCAATGTTAAGTCACCACAGCCCCTGTGCCTTGAGTGCCTGGCTGCATCATTATATCCCTGACATCAGCACAACATACTTTGAAGATCTTCAGAGGAAAAAGTGGCAGCTATGAGGCTCCAAAACATGGTCTTTGGAGGAAAAAGGAGTTAGTGCATGCTCTAAGAACAAGAAATCAAAGGTTTTCTAGTTACTGTGGCTGTACTAGACAGGATATCCAAGTTTGATGCCTGGCCCTGCTACTCGCCTGTTGGATGATCTTGACCAATTCACTTTGCCATTTCAGATCCGATTCCCCACCTTGAAATGACATACAGACCTCTGCAAAGCCAGCTGTGACCTACTGAGGAAAAGCACTATGTAATAGGCATTATTTGAAAACAGCTTTCCCACAGAGGGTTAATGTTTGGGCTCATCTGGAATGGTGTTGAGTTTGCCCAGTTGTGTTTAAATATAGTATTTTGACAGGACCTGATAATGACTATAACCTATGAGTCTCTGTCTTAAGAGATTTTGGCCTCAAGAAATTAAGTTATTGCTATCTGTGTGTATAGTTTCTACCTACCTCCACCCTACAAAGCTAACCAGTATAACAACAATACGGTTAGACGTCATGGAGAAAGGCAGACACATCCCTCAAGGCAAAAATGTACAGTTGAGAAAAGGACTGTGTGAGTAATACGAAAGTAACCACCCTGTTCAAGAGCATTTATTAGGTTTATTGTCACAGCTACAAGCATGTTCCAACTCACAGAATTACAAATAATGATCTCTTTGAGAGAGATTTAACAAGAAATTAGAGGCTGTATTCTGAAAGGTGTTACATTTTTACTTCTTCCTTCCTTCCCTATTTGTTTCTGAAGAAGGATGAGCATTACGGTGTTAATCTCTACATATGGTGTTGCATAGCGTGGAACCATAAATGATTCCTGTATCAAAATCTGGCAGTTAAAAATCCAAGAACTGCACCATGCTAGACAGGAATTACCTTGAAATCTGATATTCTGAATAAGTGGAACACACTTCCTTTCCTGTATTGCTTTTTCTTGAGGGTCTGGTAACAAGAGTTGTATTTTTCAAATGTGAATCTTCTGCAATCTATGAACTTTCACAAAGGAAGAGTATATTCCAAAAATGAAATAGCAGCTCTAACAAAATAGTCGTTTTTCTAATATAAGTATTTTAGGCTTGTTGGCTCAGAAACCACGGGATGGGTAACTGTGTTCTTTGTGCTGCTTCATGCAGAGCTCCTGCAGGTTGTGATGAGACAAAATTACATCAGAATACAAATATCCACTCAAAATTCAGAACTGGGAGCTTCCCGTGAGTCACTGGTATACAGCTGCTAGTTATCCTATAGATTGATTTTTTTTTTTAAATTTAAAGAGCATCTGATGCCACATGAGAAACTCTATTTAGTAACGACATCTATATTTTGTGAACATTTATCTGAAAAGGAGGACCCTTGGATTACGAACAGGGACAGCACAGTGTAGTGGTTAAAGCACAAAACAGGGTTCCTTATTTGTGTTTAGTGGCACACAGAGGCTTCAATCAGCGCCATTTATTCTGTGTTGTACAGATGAAATATGCCTGACTGGCCAAGGGGGGAGATGAAGGCACAGAGGGATGAAGAGATTTGCCCAACGTCCTGCAGCAGTAAAGTGTCAGGGCCAGTAAGACAATGCTGCATGCTCTATCCACTAAATCTTACTTCCTCTTTTTTGTGGCACAGATAGTACATGAGATGTTCAGCAGATTTTAACTTCCCTGCGACCCACTTCTCCTACATTACCACAGTGTTGTGAAACTTCGTGCATGTTTATATATTGATTCGGGAACCTTGGGGACCAGATAACAAATAAGAAGTACATATTAATAAAATGTTTTCTTATTATTCTCCACATGAACCAGACAGATAAACACAGCATTATTAAAAATTGAACCAATTTTTTGAGGTTAGCAGAGATTAGTTTGATTCACGGTCCTCTCACTTGTTTCTACAGAACACAATGCAGTAGTGATATTACAGTGAGTTAAAAAGAAATATAATTAAAAGGCAGATAGTGTGGCTAGCCCTTTCATTTCTTTTCTCATTAATCACTGGGATATATTAATCTGTAATGTTTTTTCACTGGGATAAGAATTATGCCAGGGATAAATTCGCACTTCTGGGTCTTGTGTGTGCTTTCTGGTGCCATTTTTCATGAGCTCATCCATCCTAAAGACTGCATATGGGAGTAGATTCCTTTGTATGCAGATAAATGCAGATCAAAGCTATGCTGCTTGGGAGATGTGTATTATGCATTTATAGCTGGAGCTGGGCATAGCTTCATTATCGTGAAATGCTTGCCAAAACCTTGCTTCAGGCTTTTTCAATAGAAGCATTCAGTCCCCCCAAAATGTTTAGTGCAGACAAGTTTCTAATTGAAAGAAAAGCACTTTCTGACATCCAGGAATACTTAACACAGTCCCACTGCTATTTGTGAAATACGTTACTTTGCTTTCTGCTGTGTCTTCCTCTGTGAGCTATACAAACTGAAACTCCATTGGAGTTAGGTGTAAGTTAAAAGGCCTGTAAAATTCAAATGAGCGGTCAAAGATGGTAACCTTTCAGTAAGCAGCTTCTATAAACCTGGAGAAAGTTTATATCTCCCAGCTTCCTCTTGGGGCATTGTGACAAGCCTGCCCCTTACAAGAATGTTTTCAGAGAGTTTATCCTATGAATAAAGTTTTAACATTCCTGTGTTGAGCCCTTCAAAACTAGCATTTTAAAATGAGTTCTCTAAAATTATCATGTAGCATTTTCAAATGTCTTCAGGAAATATTTTTTCTATACCCCTTGTTTATTATTAACCCCCTTAGTTGGAGGGTCTGGTGTTTGCCTCCAGGCAGGGAAAGGAGTTTGTGGGTGAATGAGCCCATCTGGATCTCAGCTACTACACCTCTATGGATTAGCCAGTGGGGAATTCTTTGCAGATTACTTGCCTGATACTGGTCCCAACTTAACCACTAGAAAAATATCCACTGACTTCATCACTATCAGAATTTGGCCTCCTCGAACTGGCTTCCTTCCTACTTGAATCTCAAGGCTGCAGGTGTCCTTGCTTTTAGGAGAAAAATGTGTTACTAGTAATGATTATTTTAATTATAAGCATCAAAAGTTCATTTATACTTGGTTTCAATTCTACAACAGCTCCCTCATTTGCTTTTTAAAATATTTAGTCAGATACCATTGTTTTCCCTTTATTCTACACAAAAGCCACAGATCTATGAGGGAATTTGGTGCAGTTTAGGTTAGCAGGGATGTGCATGTGATAGATACATACTGGCATGAAGAAATGCCCTTCTTCCATTAAGCTGGTCATATGATTGGTATTTGGCACATATTCAGAGTCTGACTCAGTGACATATAGTGGAATCTTTTCACAGTGAAGCATCTTGTATAGTAAGCAATCCCCGAGGTTGAGACTCGTTCCAGTTCTGTTTCACTGAAGCAAAACTCCCATTATATAAAATTAACATATAAGCATACTTTGTTAATTTAATGAATGCACCACTTTAAGTCTTCACCATCTGTTCCACACTTTAATTACAAAAAGATAAGCACAATTCACAGTTGCATCATAAAAAGCAGACCAAAAGTGATTTAGATGCACAGGTATGTTTTATGTTCCAGCCTGCAAACATCTGTTATGTATGGGGTTTCAGTCTACTAGAAGCCATTGCTTTGGAGTAGCCTTAAAAATAAAAAAAATCTTCCTTGAGTGTGAAGTGGATAAATAGTCACTTCCTTGCCTAGAAATCCTGTTGTCCTGTGTTAGAAACTGGGTTGTTGGTTGTAGCTGTGCTGGTCTAAGGACGTAGGCAGACAAGGTTCTTTGGGGAAATGTGATACCTTTTATTAGACCAACTAAATAGTTGGAAAAATTGTTCTTTGTAAGCTGTTGGGTACAAACAGCTTAGAAGCAGCTGCTTTTTGAGTGGGTTGAATCAATGTACTTGTAGCCCACAAAGTACTATAGGCCCCTTTTGGGCAGAAGATGCCACTGAGGTGTAATAAGCAAAGGCCACACCGCAGACACGTAGGATCAGACATTTACACCTTAAACAGCCCTCCACGTCAACATAATAAGCGACACGATCCTGCCTTTTTTTTTTTTTTTTTTTTTTTAAGTATTAATGGCAATAAAACTTCTTTGGTTTTGTTTTAACAATCTTCCTTGACTGTAACTTAGCTTACTGGGAATCAACTTTTTAATAAGAAAATGACCAAGTTTATTTAAGGCAGTAAATCAGCTACCTTCAGTATTTTCCTTAAAAATACAAGAAAATAAATAGGATCCTTGAACAGAGAAGTGAGTTTTGACTGAACAGAGTTGATCAGTCATCCAACTCCAATTGTATTTTGGTTAAGGAAGTATATTCTGGTGCCAGATTAAATAACTCAATCCACCTCATGTGCCTGCTATGGGATGCCTTGCTCATTCTTTAATATTTGTTTGCAATCTTCCCACTCCTGATACCCGCATTTGAAGAATGTCAGAACAAGATCGGAGATGCTATGTATGCTTGGTGCACTGTGATGGCTGGATTGAACTGAACTCTGAAACCCAGTTCTAATAATAATCACGTTTGTTCCTCAGTCAGATCATTTGGACTGCTCTCTAGATGTATATCTCAAAGGAATCTATAAGCAGTAAATAGGACATGAAGTCTTTCTAGCAGATTTTATATAAAGCTTCTGCTATTCTTACATTAGAACAAATTGAACACTTTAATCCTGTCATGGTTCTCTCTTGACAATGTAGAATTAATGGGAGTTGAATGCACACTTAATGGGAATGCAGAATAACAGGAGCTAGAAACCAATTCTTTCTTTTTTAAGAAAGTGCCATGTCTACAGTAGGAAATCCATTTCAGAACTGTTTTCATAAAATACATTTTCCTATTATATTTATAAGGAAACATTGTGGTGATAAGTTATTTGTTACAGTAATCTAAATCATATATTAATTTGAAAGTCCAGGTAAGTAATTTATATTACCAGAAACTTCTACTGTTGCCAAATTGGATTGCCATGTTAAAAGAGTAAGCAGAGTTTACAACCAAAAACCCATGAAAAAGGAAATTTACAGGCAGAGAAAAACTGCACCTATACATGGTAAACATTTTAGCAAAAAATTGCCAAAGCAATAAAACTGGAAATCAAGCTTTTCAGTCAAGTCTTAGTGAAAAGTGTCACAAATACTGAAAAGGTGAAGCACTGTTTATTCTTTGGAATATCCCGGCCTCTGTTAGCCTATTTTAACTTTGACCCTATTGACATACAGAGTTTTCTGCTGTGTCTGGTGGTAGGATTTACTGATAATATTTGGAGGCACACGCACGTAAAAAGATCTACATTCATATAAGTTATATGTCAATAGTTCAGAAGAAAGCAGGAGGCAGGGACGTCCTACCTACATACTCTCATGGAAACTTCACAAATTCCCATTAAATGATTTATTTTGCATCCATCTCTCCCACCTGTCACATCACCTTAACCCTTCAGACACTCATGGCTCCTTAAAGTCCTTTACTGACCATGACTGTCTAATTTGCACCACTGCTGAATTTAATTTCCAGCTTTTAATGTTTCTTCTCTCCCAATCAGAATTGAATCAACAATGCAGTACAGCGGTAGGGATCTCTTCTGTTTTACACATAGGAGATATAAACAATCACCCTGCATAATTATCTGTGTAGCACTTACTTTGTTATCACAGAAAGACAAAAGGTTGAACTGATGCAGCAGGTATTTTACTCTATTTAGCTGAGTTTAGGTATTCTGCCCTAATGCTTGTATATCTGTGGCAGGTTAGTGTTATGCCTTGTGGTTGTGGAACAGGGTTGACTGTGCAGTTTTAGTAAGAGGATATATAAGGATCGTATGGGATTGTTTGAATAGGGATGATCCTGCTTCAGGCAGGGAGTTGGACCAGATGACCTCCAGAGATTCCTTCCAGCCCCGCTTTTCTTTGATAGCAATAAGCTATCACTGTAGTTGGTCATCATTAGGGACCGCATCTCCTTAACCCACTTCTCTTAGAATTTTAGCACCTGAAAGTGCCTTAGTTTTCTGGAAAGAACAGAATAAAACTTAGATATAATGGTAGGTTGATATTTCAAATGTAAACAAAAAGAAGTGTCGTAAGTGAGTAAAAGACACTCTCTTAAAGGTACATTTAATGGCAACAAAACCAACTTTCATAAGCCTGTGTGCAACATACTTCTGGTAAAAGTGGAGTCAGCATCTAACACTCCCTTGTGGTAACTGTGAAATGAGCAGCTACTAACCAATGCCACTTTCCCTGGCAGAGGAGCAAAATGCTGGAAGAGTTCCTTAAGGAAAAAATATTTCTTACAGTTATGATCAAACCTCCAGTATATTATAAAATGAAAAACACCTGCATATCCTGGCAAACTCTTGTACCTCCCAGTGTGGGGTAAACTGCAATGAAAACCCATTTTAGCAATTCACTGTATTGCTCTCATATTTGGGGTTCATATATAAAACAAAAAAAATATTTCTAATGTAGTGGTCTCTGCTTCCCTCCCTGAATAGTAATTCAACTGAAATAATTTCTCACTTCCATATAAAGCATCTGATATCGTTACAGAATTGCCAAATAACACGGGTCTCATCTGTGATGCGCACAGTACTTAGGGGAATAGTTATTTTGGTTTGAGTTATCCTCATGGACTTTATTTTAGCCATTTGATAAATAACCGCCATACAGATTAAACAAAGGAATTCAATAAAAATCATACCCAATTCAACATTTATGTTTGGTTTATAACTAAGCCTTTTTAAAACGGCAACAAAACAGCAACTCCCCGAGGATGCATTTCTGCAGTCATTCACATGTGCATGCATGTGCTTAGCCTTACTCACATGCACAATTGCAACCTAAAAATGAAGACAGAGGCTGTTAAATCTACACTGCTGTTCTACTGAGACTAGGAATTGCCGCTATAGGCATCAAAGTCCTCTCAGTGGTGCTGATTCTGGACCAAGTCAGTCTGTTCTTCCCAAAGAACACTGTCAGTTTTTTAGTTAGATCCTTTTTCATGCGAAATGGGAATCGCATGTCAGGGAACTAAACTTTCTATGCAGCATCCCACTGATCTCCAAGACCTAAAACCAAAGTACCCGTGTTGGTAGAAAAACTCCTGTGTGTTGCTGGCGAATGGCTGTCCCTCCCACACTGTGTAGCTAATTGGGCAATGAAGAATAAGCTAAAATATTGCTGTAAGGGACCCTGTATCTCCTCCTCACTCATACATCCCCTAATGCATCTATGCTAATTACAGGAACTACAATTTAGCAGAGAGCTCTAATTGCCCACGGTAATAATAACCCTCTGAAACCAATTCCTCCTCCAGACAGTGCACCTGGTATTATTGTACAATTACGGATTCTCAGAGTGTAAAAGTAACACTCTTGTCATTTGGAAAGATCATTTTCATTGATCTTTTTGGTTTGTATTCTGACATGGAGAAACCATTCTGATGAATCATCGTGGACAGACAGAGAGAGAACAGATTAACAGTAAAAATCATGCTAGATATCAGCAAGCTGAGAAACCAATTCTGTGTTCCGTTGCACCAAGTAAGATCATCATCAGTTAAGTTAATGGTGTCTGTGCTTGAAAACCTGAGGACTAGAAGAAGGATGCTCTTATTCTGTAGAGCCCATGACTGAGATTTACTTCTCCTGGAAGTCCAACAGACTTGGAGTCAAATGCAGATTTGGGCTCCCTAGTTTAGCTCTGGTTCTTGAATTTGTAATCTGGGCTTCAACTCTTACATGTTAGACCAGGGGCAGGCAATTATTTCAGGTGGAGGGCTGCTTACTGAGTTTTGGCAAGGCATTGAGGGCTGCATGATAGGTAGCCAGGGGCAGTTAAATATTATTTTTCTAAATTTTTAGGGCCCCTGCAGGCCGCATAGAATGGCCTGGCGGGCTGCATCCAGCCTGCGGGCCACATTTTGCCCACCTCTGTGTTAGATGTTCTGCAAGTGGGTATTATATAGGTTCTCTCTTTCAAAAATGCAACACAAGGCACTGGACCCGTACAGGCTGTGTTGTATAAACTGAAGCTAAGTTGGGGATAAAAGACAGCAGGGGGGGGAGGGCTATGAATTTCTCTGCACACACACTAGCAGTTTACTCCAACATCATGTTTCTGAAAGCGGATGTTAGGAGTACACTGGTAGAATCCTAACTGCAGTCAAACTAGTCAGCTGCCTTTGATGAAACCAGGTAACCCTGTAAGTCCAACTGCTGACACACTGCTAGATAAATGGATCTGTACACCAGTTCAGTAATGGTTCATTTTTACTGTCAAGTATATTTGCATGAATAACTACTTATGGAAAGAACGCTCCTTTGGCGCACACAAATGTTTTCAGAGTTCATGAGACTTCCCGATTTACCTTGCCAGTCCATCAAAACAGATTGAGAAAGGGGGGAATAGGAAGGGTTATAAAGAAACTAAAATGAGTAGAAATGAAGAAAATGGAGAGGAATAGGAATAATGACACTGAAAGTAAAAAGATTTTGATGGAGAAGGGAGGACACAGCAAGGAACCAATCAGCAACAGCTATCTGTAACTGAAGTGGAAGATACAAGGGTTTCATGTCAGCCAGGGCACTAAGGAGTTAGGGTTTTCTTCAGTTCCTAGAATTGACTCCTCTGTCCTCTTAGGGCTTTGCCTCCTGCTCCAGGTTCAAGGTCTGAAGAAAGTTGAGGCAAGATGTACCAGCTGTTAACAGACCTGAGAGGATGAGGTGGTCAGGGAACCCAAGGTGAGTTTCTGCGTGCAGTGAGGAAGGACCTGTTACATGCTTCTGCCACTCTACCAGGGTGCATTCTTCCTCTGAATTATCTGGCCTCATTATTTCACTTTATATGGTGCATCTATTTATTATAATAACTTATAATTGCATGGGCAATGTCTTGGCATGGCCAGTAGTTTCTGCTCCGGCAATGTGCTGGGCAGACTAACGGGGCTTTCTGCAGGTCGGGAAGAAGATGATGTCTTGACAATACTTGATTTCTTAGTGCCAGCCTTGAGCCAGTCATGCTAACCCTGCACAGGCATTAAGCTAGCACCCTGATTTTTCTTAAAATGAAAAGGTGTATTTAGTCTATATTCTGCATAAAGTGAACTGTGATACATGAATAATTTCAGGTTGCTACAGCCTGTTCTTCCACTCCACCCTTATAATAAGGCTTTTGGGTTAGAACATCCTGTTATGTAAGGATGCAAACTACATTCAGAACCATAATAATTATCCTAATTGCATCATTACCTATTTATAACACCCAAGATGCTAGGCAGGGAAATTCAGTATTACAATGGCCAAAAAGTAAAATGTAGCAGACTGGATCTGTTCATCACACTGAAATCCAATTCAGCCTTTTGTTTAAAATGAGAGATTCCTTCTTAGTAATAAAACAGAATGTAGTGTGTTTGTCAGACACACTGGAGCAAAACTACAATATTGATCAAAGAACAGCTTCAGCATCTATTGCAGTAGGAAAAGATCTGTGAATGTATCAATGTGCTCCTTTGTACTTGAGCAGCAATATAAATAGCCTCTAAAATCTATTTTCCCTTTCTCTCTCTATATATATGGAAACTATATCAGGATTTATCTGAAATCTCTCTGGTCTCAATATGGAGTGCTGCTTGGCAGTTCAATGCAGGTTAGGTAAACTCTGTAGGAGAGGCACAAGCTCAGCTCCTCTCAGAAGCAGTCCCATGAACTGAAGATGTACTGGTTAGGAATTGCTTTAGGAGGTTTTAAGGGAAAATTCCCTTATCCCAGCCACCACTTGACCATAACATTTCCTAGTCAATATTTACATTAGCCCCAGCTATTATTCAGAGTCATTAGGCTGTAACAGTAGTGTTGTCAGCACAACATAAGGCAGGGGTGGGCAAAATGCGGCCTGGGGGCTGGATGCGGCCCGCCAGGCCATTCTATCCAGCCCACAGGCCCCTAAAATATTTAGAAAATTAATATTAATCTGCACCTGGCTGCCTGTCATGCGGCCTTTGATGGCTTGCCAAAACTCAGTAAGTGTCCCTCTGCCCAAAATAATTGCCCACCCCTGACTTAAGGGTTACACTTTTCTAAACTAAAAATGTTGGTTATTCATAGATTCACAGATGTTAGGGGCTGGAAGGGACCTCGCAAGATCATCAGGTCCAGCCCCCTGCACTAGGCAGGAAAGACTGCTGGGGTCAGGTGACTGCCCGGTCTCCTCTTGAAGATCTCCAGGGTAGGCGATTGCACCACCTCTGGAAGGAGTTTATTGGTTATGGTGCTTTCTGATCTGGAAGGGGCAGTAACTAGGGACATAATTAAATTGTGGCCCTACAAAGGGTTTTTTGTCACCTGTTCACAGGGCGCACAGCCGATTTCACAGGCAGAGAGGCTCTGAAGAGGGTGGGGGGTGAGAAGCTCATTGTAATCTTGATTTCTGGCTGCCCTTTGTGCTGCCTTGCCCCTCGGTACTGCTTGACGGAGAGGCGCCAACAGAGGGAGGACAAACAAGGGGGCAGCTACCATCTTGTCGGCTGCCCTCCTGGCAGCAAGGACCACTGGCTCCCACTGGGGAGCCAACAGTTTATTTATTTATTTTCGTTGATTTTGTGGATTTCGCGGTTTCCATGAGACCACAAATTAAGTCGGTCTCTAGCTATAAGTAGTGGCCAGTGTAGAAGCAGAATCTATTACAGATCTCTTTGCCCAGATGGGAGCCCTAAAGACAATGACTCTGTAATCGGAGTCACTTGAAAAGGGAGCTCCTAGAGAAGGAAAGAAAAAAAACCCATCCCTGATATAATTTGAAAGGAATCCAAGAGAAAACATAAAGCCAAATCAGCATATAACAGCCAAAGCCAGCATTTCTGAACTGGGAACCTTTCTTTGTCTATCATTCTTTGTTAGGTACAAGACAAAGAGATAGAGAAAATAGGTTACAGATAACAAACCAAATGGAAAAAATGTATTTACTGGGGCAATCTGTGTCTTGCTCTTCTCTGTAGCCCCAGAGGCAAGTTTGTGAAGGTGCAGCTGCTGCAGAGCGCTGCTCTAATGGACTGGACCTACAAAGAATAGAAACACAAGCTGAATGCCCAAGAGACTGGTGCTTAACAAGCTTTAAACCTGCAAGTGCAGCACGTGACCCCTCCCCCCAGACTTCCTGGCATGTACTAGAGTGGGGTCGTCATGATGTTATTCCCCATTAACTGTTCTCCTTGGGGTCACCTTGTGGACCACATGCTGCCACACAATGGGGAGGGAAGATACTAACAACTGCACAGATCTAGCTAGAATTTAGCCCCTGCATTTTGCTTGAGATTGATTAGAGACATGACTAGAACAACTCCTTAGCTAAGATGTTGCCTCCATTTAAGGACTTATCCCCTACAAATCCTACACTATTTCTCCAGTTGGCTGTTTCAAAATCAGAGACAGTTGTCATTCCCTTGTGTGTGGGCAGGAAGCACAGAGACGTATTCCATACAGAACACAGGAAAGATTATGTAGGATTTGTCTGTACAAGGCATGTGGGAAGTGCCAAGTGTACGCTGCTTGCAACAAAACCTGTATCATCATATTATTTCCATGACAACGGTCTGTTTATATTCATGATCTGTTCTATGTCCCATGAGCTTAAAAAAACAGCTTGTGGAAATGAATGATCAGACAACGGGAAAGCTGTTCCTGAGACAGCATTAATGGTATGAAGGGTGTCAATTTAAGTGTGAGACTAAAGGCCAGCAAAGCTAGTGTTCTGGCACTGATTGTCAAGACAATGACATGTGCATAAATGCTTTTTCTATAGGAACTGATTTGAACATATGCCCATTTTCCTGAACTGGGGCCTCTAATCCACGACAATGCCTCCCTCTGTGGCTTATGGCAAGTCAGTTAACCCAGGGGTGCTCAATCTGCAGCCCACAGAGCCATAGGTACCCAGCCCTCAGGGCTCCTCACAGATCAGAAAATTTGGTGGCAGGGGCATGGTGGCAGCAAATATGGCCACCCTCCTCTGCTGCCAAATTCTCAAACTCCAAGCTCCGCGCAGCAGGCTGGGGCCAGGTCATGCCTCCTCCCCGCATCCCCGCAGCTGGATGAAACCCATGGGGCTGGGCTGGAACTGGCTCAAGCCTCCCCCCTCCTCCCTCCCCACCCACAGGGCTGAGTTAAGTCGCCCTTCCCACACGGTGCTGGATTGGGGCTGGGCTATACTTGCTCCCTCCCTTTGTGGGGACAGATTGGGATCGGGATGCCCCTGACCCCTCTGTTCAGCCAGATGGGGCCCTGCTGCGACCTTCCCATGCCAGATTGGGACACTCAACCGGATCAAGTCTGTGGACAGCCTGGGCACCACCACCCGTCCAGCCAAAAAAGTTAAGCACCATTGCATTTTTCCTGCCAGGGGCAGGGGGTCGGACACGATGATCCATTGTGGTCCCTTCCGACTCTACAATCTATGAATTAATCTCTGTACCCCAATGTCTTTAATGGAATAACAACACTTATTGACCCCCATCACAGAAGTGCAGTCAGGCTTTTGCAGATATTTTTGTGAAGTATTTTCCAGACTGAAAGTGCTACATAAATGCTAAGGATTATTGTATTTAGACCTATCTAAGCATTCTGCAAACAACCAAGGGAACATACTGCGTGCACCAGGACATGTTTTCTAAGATGAAATATTAACATACCTAGGGAGAAAGAATGTGACAATGAATAAGAAAAGTGTATGATTTATTCAAGAGATTTCCTGATGTGATTTGGAAGAAAATGTGGGTTCTCAGCAGTTCTGAAACTCAGACCCAAGATGGCTCAGACCCAGACTCAGCATGGCTGCAGGGAGGTCAGAATCCATGAACAGTCTTAAGGCAACAGGCCGTAAAGGCACAGATGGGCCAAGAAAGCCCACCTAATGATCAAGGGACAGGATTGAGACCAGAGGGGAGTAGGAGCCCCTTGGCCACCAGGGGGTGGAACGGCTGCCCCTGGGGCCTGGGCTTGCTACAACTTTATAGGACATTTCGGAGCAAGGCAAAACACCCGTTTTAATACTCTGTTTGCTGCATGCAGTCTTTTCTGCAGCCTGATAGCCTTTGTCTTTCCTTTGCAGGCCCTTATTTCTGCTTATTGTTGACTGCAAGATTCTGATGGCAGCAGATTCCTTGTTTCTATTCCACAGCTGTGGACCCAACCTAGATTAATCTCTAATGCAATGCTGTGGACTTCAATTGACTTGCATCAGCCAAGAATTTGGTATTCGTATTGTTATATTACGTTTATCAGTAGTTTAGGGTTTAAGGCCAGAAGAGATCAATATACAACAGTCCACATTTTACAGACTATTAAGTTTCATACAGATACCCCTATATTAAGCCCAAAGACTTTAATTCAAGTAGGCTACTGTGTTTAAATCAAAAGTATGCATCGTAGGCGAACTATAGGAGAAGCCTAGGTAACACCAATCCCTCAGGCCCTGCAAAGGAAGGGAATGGATTAGTGGAACTATGCCCAGATTATCTCAGCAGGGAAATCATGCCTCGTGCTACAGATGAAAGGGAAATTGCTCCAAGTTCTCTCCAATTTGATCATAATGTAACCAGATCATGACCCCCGATACTTAGGCAACAAGCATCTAACGCTCAGCTTTTGCTATGCTCTCCTCAGTCTTGCATGTTTTCCAGAGATACTGATGCAAGGACATAGGCAGACAAGGTTCCTTGGGTGAATTTGATATCTTTTATTAGACCAACAAGCAAGGACATGCACTTAACTACAGCCCTTGAGGCACTGAACATCTGGACTTGGTCTGGCCTCTGGATTCTGTCTCAATGGTCTAAAGGGGAGGATGGGGGTAAAAGGTCTGGGCAGCCTCCACTCCTCCATGCTCTTGCCAAGGCATACAAGTTGAAAGTCCAGGTGACCTCTCTCACATACACCATGATCCCGAAGGACTGACAGTTGCCTACTACTGAGGGTCTAATTATGGGGTGAAACAGAGAGTTTACAAAGTCTGTTGAGCCTTGGTGGCTATTGATAACCATAACAGCAACTTCTGTACAAGTCACTGTGATACTCTTAAACACTTCTGCAATATCACTAATGAAAACATTCATCAACTCTATTAGACTTGGGAAAAGTCTCTAAGTCACATAAAGGAAATACTTTTCCTCCTAAGTGAAGCACATGATTATACTTCTAACAAATGCTACATTTGTTTAATTTTCATACCATAGATTTAGTTCTAGTATCTCAAAGAAAACAACACACCTCCCTTGATGTGTGACAGAAAAATACTAAAGTAAATATTACAGGGAAAAGTCTAGCATAATGAATATCATTTGCCAAATACGACTGTTTCTAACAATTCATCTCGCTGGAGCCTTGACTCTGAGCAAAGCCAATGCTTTAAAACTAGTTGTCTAAGCCTAACACAAACATAATTTAATTGGGCCTAACTCTCTACTGCCTTCACCTTGTGAAGTCATTGGCATCAGTCTGAAGTGAATATGAAAAAACATCAAATCAGAATGCAGAATTTTGCACTTTGCACTTGCTATGTACTGGTTTGATTTTTATGCAGGACAACAGTGAATCAGACTTACGAAAACTAATCCTTTCTTAACGTGGAGTCACCCCCATCATCTGCTAATCTCTTAAAGACACCGAGACATCTTAGTAATAGTGTAAGGTACCTCAGTGGAGACATACAGTTGGTGTAATCATATTAGTGGAATATGAATCTGCGTAATCTCACAACCTCTCCAAGAAGTATCATTTCGTTCCGAGTAAAAGAGATAGTGTATTAAGCTGGACGATACTGGTGACAAATGCCCTTCACATCTCTCTGGATTCATTTTAGTAGGACTGAATAGATTCAGCACAAGGCATCCCCACTTGCTATTGCAAGATATCCTATATGTTGTTAATACTTAATGTGCAGCAGAGTGAAATGCCTTCGAGGGGTCCAGAATATATACACACATTTGCTTTCTCTCTCAGGCTGGCAATATGATAGCTGCCAGCGCTAGCTTTCTCTTGTTCAGGCAAAACAAGACTTCTCACTGGGTAGCATCTCATCCTTGAAAACTGAAAGCTTCATACTTCTTACAATTCATCACCTACGTTACCCTTTGTATAACTACGACTAGTGTCACAGGGACTAATATCATCTGCACTATGACAGCTCTCAAGAAAGCCACTTGAGGCTGCCTTAGGGATACAATGTCATCAGGCAGTCAAAGACACAGGAGGCTGCATATGTAGTAGCAGTGTGCTCCTGGTAAGATTTAATGGCATTAATTATGGGGTTCATCCCTTGGCTGGCCTCACTTAAGTCTTGAATGGACACTGAGATTCTTATACTGGTGAATAACCAGGATTCATGAGGGACAAGTATAAGAATCCTGGTGAATAACCAGGACTGAATATTTGTACAGAAGGATCAAGTGAAGGGAAATCTTAAATGTCTTTATCAATATGAGGGGGACAAACGCATCTCATAAATAACTTTCTATATGAAATGGTCCTGTTATCGAGCACAGGGATTGCCTAACTTGGTCAGAACAGTGGGATCCAACTAATTCAGTAACCAATCTCCATTAAAAAGCCAGTACCTGATATTTTAGGCAGTGCAAGAAATCTTATAATGGAACGGTCTGCAATAAACTGCATATAAACGTTTCTGCCATTCTTCATAGCTGTAGATTTCTATCTCCCTTATTTTGAAAAAATAAAATAAAAAAGGAAGTAGCAAGGAGCTTGCAGTTTGGCTAGTATGACACATCTTACTACAAGCACTAATACACCTAAGGTCAATGATCTTATGGAATTCATTTCTGGACACTGGAGAGCTAGCTAGCACTGTAGAAGGTTTTTAAAAGGGGCTGAATAATCATGACCAATAACAACTCAATAGTTATTCATGTTAATAGAAGTGTAATCAACTTTGATTTACCTTTTTTTTTAAAGCATGCCAGCAACATGAAACACTTGTCACTGACTCAAGCATTAGGACTGGGTACAAAGGTGAAGGACTACTCTGTTGACTCATTCTGACAACTGGAGCAGATTGATCTCCTTAATTACACATAAGATATATGGAAGCCTGATTCCCATTCACATGCTAATTGCTATGAATTAATATTGTCATCTCCTATTTCAGGATACAACCTAACCACTCCTTTGGGTGGGTGCAAACAACCCCCACCACTGTGTGCAACATTGTAAAGTAAGCATTTATTTTTATTATTTAACCTTCCCCTCAAACATCAGATAATCATTTCTAGAAGCAGAATACCAGATACTGAATGCAGTCTTTGTGCCTCCTATGGAAGAAATCCAAGTGCAGAATTACACTCTTAATTATCTAGTGTCTGATCTACTTAATCAATTCATACCACATATTTTTCCAATGAAACACTAGTTTTAATTTGATAGGCTGCTAGGTCCTCCAAGAAAATCAAAATGCTGGAGAGAAGTTTCAGGGGTTCTGATATTCTGATACTCAATATGAACTACAGGCAGCCTCCGACTTAAGACTTTTCAAGTTGCGATGAATGTCGTTTATGATGTTTATAAATTGACACCCCATTTCAATGTTGGTTTCATCTTTACGATGGTCGAGTGTAGCTGGTAAGTGGTGGAAGGGGAGGGGGAGGGGAGATCAATGTCCCCCACAGTGAGGGAGGGGTCGGGGCTGGGGCACGCACTGTCCAGCCAGGGCTGATGGCACCAGGAGGAGGGGGTGGCGGCTCCCGCCGCTCGTCTGGCGGCTCGACTAGCGGTTTCTGCCGCTAGTCCAGGAGACCATGCGGGGGGGTGTGTGTGTCCCTGGATCTGTGTGGGGTGGGACAGGTGGGGCCGGGGCTGCACCAGGCAGGCGGTGGGGGCTACGGTGAATTTTTGGGTGGCTGCAGCCCTCCCATAGCCCCACTCTGCCCCAGTCTGGGGTAACACCGTCCCTATGAGAAAACTGGTTCCGAGTCCCCATGTTTCAACTGAAGACGCGGCTTTTCATGAACCAATTGCGTCGTAAGTCAGAGGGCTGTTCTTCTGGCTGGTCATCAAACAATAATTTGGAGCTCAGATCTACTCTTTATCCATGGCTCAGTTCAAAAGAAATAATTACAGGGCAATCATGATGACCAAGATCTGCAATTTGAGCCACTGGGGCAGCACAGCGATCGCCAGCGACCTAGAGAGGAGTTGTGCTGCTTGGGCTCACGCTCTCAGTGCGAGTGCGGGGGTGGCTCCCTGGACGGAGCCACGAGGACTGCTCCACCTCCTGCCTGCAAGCTGGGGGGCTGCAGAAGGGGTCAGGAAATTTGGCGGTGGGGGGGTCAATAGTGCCACCCATCCCGCTGCCAAAATCCCGAGCGGGTGGAAGCCAGGCCATGGCTATGCCCCCTGCACTGCTGGGTTAGGCGTCAAGCTATGATCCCACCCCCAGCCACGTGCAGGTCTGGACCCTTCCCCTCCCCCTTCCCTGGGTGTGGCTGGGCTGGGCCGGGCCTCCTCCCCTCCCCTCCCCGCCAGGCTCCCTGCAGCGTGGAGTTGGATGGGCAGGTTCATGCCCCTTCCCGTGTGGCGCCAGACCGAGCCCGCTTGCCCCACACCGCTGGATCCGACACCCCCCCTCTCTCCTCGCTCCTCCAGGCGGGGTCGGGGGGGCGGCCTACCTGGGCAGGGCCTCCAGGGGCTCGCGCTGCTGCCCACCCCACCAAGCAACCCAACGCCGCATGCGCCACCGCACCGACAGCACGGCGCACGCGCGACTCCTCCCAGCCGCTCCCCCTCCCTAAGCCTCCAAGTGCGCA